CAGAGGAGAGTGGGTTGTACAAAATAATTTCCATGGCAATAGCAACTGCATCACGAAGGCCTTTTGCACGCATCGGTCACGCTTTAAACGGTTGATCACAACCACTTATGCATTCTTTGGTTTCAAAATTTGAGGATAACAGGGAAGCTTGAGTTTTCCATTTCAGTGCTCGCTATCCAGCAAATGTCGTGCCACAGCGCTTGCCGGAAGTTTTCCTCGTCGAAGTGACAAACTTTTCGATATATGCTCACCACTCATTTTGGTTAGCAGTAGTCGTGCAGACCTCTCGACGTACCACGAATCAAAAGTACATTGAAAAAGATTAGTGCAACTAACGGTGACTGGATCGTTAGAACTGTCTATGTTTGACCGAATTATTGAGCTGACGATCCCTTAAATCATGACCAGCTTCGCGGCGTGATATATATACCCAACTGTGGTACAGAGCCAACAGCAAACCCATATTATAACATCGTCTCGTTTAGATGAAATACGATTGAAAACGGGTTTCTTTTCAACCGTTGTGCACCTCACCTGGGGATCGCAGATTTACTATATAGGCAAACAGTAGCCCTTAATGTACAAAGCATTCACCTTTTAGAACGTCTGGAGTACACAGGTGACGAACTCTGTAGAGTAGGGTTCTTACCAATCCACTATTGTGACACAGAAGGCAAATCTTTAGGTGTGTAAACACTGACTTGTCCAAGTATTTTTGTGATGAAATGAGGTCAGGATTGTACCGTTCTGCAATCTCGTCAGATGCAAGTCTAGGAATGGTGGTGAGACAATCGTCTCACATTTCAAAGTGAACTTGAAAATTTTGGGCATCTGGTTCAATTTGTTAAACAAAACCATGCCATCTGTTTTGTTTGAGAATAATACTACGTTCAAAGGTGAATTCGTCGTGCGTATAGCAAATAACGCGGGAACTGAAAAGCTAGGAAGCACTGGACAGCCGTTTCAACCAGTTTGGGGTTGGAATCAATCAGTCAAACTACTACTACTACTACTACTACTACTACTACAAGCATATACCGGTGGGGATTGGTCCGCGTGCGATTCTCAAATTCACTCCATTTATCTGATGGTAGATTATGTCATAGAAGAGGAGCACATTGCATACACTTTGGAGAGCATAAACACAATTTGGTAGCGTTTTCAATTCATTCATTTGTTTGAAATCCGTTTTCACTAGTAAATTTACAAACTTCCTCCACGGCTTCCTCCACTGATAAGTTGGGGAATGATGGTTTGACATCACAAGAGACAATGAAACTCTGGCTATGGTCAACATCGGGTAAGATATCGTTCAACTGGGATTTTATCTTTCAACCCGAAATGATAACTATTGGATTTGGTTAGTCAACCCCTGAGCTAAGCCCCTGTACTGGAGTGAGTTGATCTTTGAGAGAATTGGACGCAAAGGGACCCCAGTATATGGAGATTTGGTAGAACAACAGTATCATCATTCTTTTACTTGTTTAGGGTCTTTAGATGATCGTTTGTTCGGATGGGGTTCGGGTCGGGTTTTTTGACTGCTAGTTGGTACGGTCTCTTTTTTCTGACTCGTATTTTTTAGCCCCTCCTCCGCGTTCACTCATCTCCAAATGAATTTGTCATGCTTCAACAGCCAAATTATTTCCGATTGAAGCAACGTAGTTATGTCAATGTCCTTCCCTATACGGTAGTCTTTTATAACGTTTCAAACTATTAAATGTACGTGGACAGTTGATTGAGAGCACATGAACTTAAGAACTTGTATTTTGTAATGTTGACTGAAATGAGAACATGTTTAATCTTTTTCCTTTGTTTTATTTTGCATTTTGAATCAAAATGACCGAAGGGGAGGGATATAGAAAATTAGAACCTTGATTATATGCTTGTGTTGCAATGTTGATGAAAATTAAAGAGTCAAGTTAATAAACTGAAAAAGTTCTTCAGGGCCTTCTGAGAAAAGTACAGTCATTCTCACCTTGAAATATTTCAACATCAGTTTATTTTCTGTTTTTGCCACAAGGGTCCGAGCGGGAAGTGGAATGCCGTCGGAGCAAATAGATGTGTACCCACAAATTTGGGTCATAAACTCCAGGAAAAGTTTACTATGTCGACGAATTCCAATGACGTGGGGGTGCGGTCGAGGTAAACCAATTATGCACTCGAGCGGTATGCACTGAGAATATTTTTTCATCGTATTTACCTTATCTACTTTTCAACTAACAGTAGCCCAATTTTGATATTAGAAGAAATGGTGACGCACGAGAGTTCAACTTAAATGAAATAGAAATGCTTTCCAGCTTAAAGATAAGTCGATAATGGGTGATCAATGCATTCATTGATTATGTATGTATGTAGTGACTAGAAAATAAAGTTGAATAACTTGGAGGGATCAAAGATTACGTTTTGAATCTCCACACATCTGTTCAGAGACAGAGTGTTTGCATTTTTTTTAATCAAAAATTATTGTTTTCCCCGCCGAAAAGTTTTTCGCACACATCAACTTTATGAGTTTGATACCTGGACTTTAAATAATTGTGATACCATGATAGTAGGTGTATCTTGACAGAATACCATGGAACAGAGTGTTCAAAGTCAGGTCACAAGCTGGAATATTACATGAACTGAACAAGTAGCTATGCAATCATCCAAAAGCTGTACCACATTTTCTGCCAAGAAACATTTGAAACTGGAGCAAGGCTGATGATAAAAGTTGAAAAGAAAGTGAAACAGTTCTGTAGTAACGAAGTTCACTCGTATCCGACTTTCATTCAAATAAACAGGGCAAATTAGAAATGTAACCAAATACGCTTGATGACATAAAAAATTTGAATAGTCACACAAGGTGTCCTAGTGCCATGAATGAAACGTAAACAGCGAAAGAACCGAGTGCCCTACTGCATATGACAATAGAATTCTGAATTTTCGAATTATTCATTGTCATTTGTGAAACCAGTTCTTTGTTTTTGTTGCCGGTTTTCTTGTCTTATCTATTGAATTATATCTCTTGACCATCATGAATAAATAGTTTAGACTTGTCCAAAAGTGGACAGTGTTGAAAAGTCAACGATAAAACTGCGAACGGCAGAATTGGTTACAAATGTAGGAACAGTTTTATAATGGCTAAAAGAAAGTGAAAAGCAGGATGTGGTTTGTGTTTGAAGCATTCAGAAATCTTATTTCAATTTAGGGATTGAATTTATGATCGATACAACCTCGACCAAGTCTAAAACCAGCCTGGTTCTCACGCATACACTGTGCACGTGCTGCAGACAATCGACGGAGTATAATACCGGCGAGATGTTTAGAGATGATGTTGATTAAACTAATTCCTCTGTGGTTTTCACAGGAGGATCTGTCGCCTTTTTTACAAGTGGGTGTGATCACCGATTCACACCATTCAGTTGGAACCTCTCTACCTCTTCCACATGGAGCCTAGGAGTTTCTCCGCACGAAGGTGCATGGTTAATGGTTGTACAAACTGAAGTGAATTGATTGAATTTATTCTCTTCTTCCGGTTGGTGAATTCAAAATCATTGATCGCCTTCCAGTGCACGGCTTAACATGAAACCAAAGGATCGATAGTTGTTCATTATGGAAAATACCGATCGTTCTGATTTAGCTACACTTAATCCAACTGTCACTGTATGCGAAAAGAACAAAAAGAATGTTGTGTATCATGGCGATCGGTATCAAATCAACCGTCTTCAATAGACAGGAAAGTGTTTTGCTTACCCGGATAGCGGTCGAGGGAGGACGCTGCTGTACCACTGGTTGACGAGAGCGAGAGCGAGAGCCACGTGTACAAACTATGATTTGGCACGAGGGTGTGAAAAAACTGATGGCCCGGAGGCTTCGTTACACAGATAGCGTGATGCGTTCGGGGTAGGGTTCTCGTGGATAACGTGAGCAGTGGTGGGATCATATAGTTGTATGTTGTAAACCGCGGTGCTTGTCTATGTTCTAACCTAATTTAGTTTATTTCTCTACTCCGTCTCTATTGATTGACCAAACGGAGAGAAAAACTAGGGAAAAACCACAAAACCGAGAATGTAACATAGATAAAAATCCCGCCCTAACGTAATCTAATTAATTCTTCTTAATGAATAGTACAGTTTTGCCTGGTTAGCCAGTAAACAGTGCCTCCTTGCGAGATACTGGGAAACTGCCCTATAATTTTATTAGAACCACAGTGTGCGCGATAGCTAGTCAAGTGAAACGAAACCTCATTGTCTGATCAGGGATGTTTCAGTTTATATTTCTACCTTTTCTATTAAATTACAAATTATGAAAAATAACATGAGATATGCGGAACATTTACACGTTCAGAGAAACAAATCCACTGTAAACATTACCTTAGTCCGGTTATATTGCTTCAGATTCACAAAGTTGATAAACTGACTGATGTTTCCAGTATAACAAAAGCTGATAAAGATTAATTTGAATAATTGTGAAAATAAAATGTGAAAATTAGGGATTATTTTTAGCTAAAGATGATGCCGATATGTTTGCCGAGAATTGAATACAGTCGCTGTGTTACAAAACCAAAACGGTATTGTTTTAGCTCAATGAACACTATCTAACGGGTCTATGTGAGATATATCAGCAACAAATCAAAACTGACTCACCTTTTCTGTTGCTTTGAAAAGGCGATAGAAAGTGCATCCATCGATAAACGATAAAATAAGTCATAAAAACGTATAGTGAGGTTTCAAAATGATTACATATTAAACTTCATTTGATGCAAAACATTCAATCAAATTTATCGGTCAACTTATATCCTTATATATGTATATATTCAACAAAACAAAGTTCCCAGTTCCAATCACTGTTTTGTCAAAATGAACACAGATGGATTAATTCGGCGGATGAAGTGGAAACCTTACGTTTATGCGACTTGGCTCGTCTCCCCCGTTGGACAATACGTCAACCGCGGAATCGAGCAGTGCATACCGAACGGTCGAAATCGAGATTGGCCAGCGACAAAAGATCTCACAAACCGACAGAAAATTTTTTGACGCAAATTGTTGAGACAGCCGAACGAGGAAAATTGGACGGATCTCGTGCTCGATTGGCTAACTGGGGTTCAATTATGAGCACTGGTTTGTTGGCTCCCGGACGTCAGTGCCGCATTTGCCTGATGTCGTTCCAAATGGGTGATGAGGTTCGTCGTCTGGTTCCCGGATGCGAACATATTTTTCACGCGGCCTGTATCGATCCATGGCTTTTGCACCAGTAAGTCTGTGAAGTGTGAAACAATCACGTGGTTCGAATGTCAAACCAATCCTTTTTCCTTCAAGGTGAGAGTTATAAATATTTGTTATGCAGAATATCAAGTTTATATATATATATATATATATATATATAGGGGAGATTAAGTGCTTGCACAAATTTATTCTGCGCGCACAACGGAGGGGGGGGGGTTGTAAATACGAATACTTACGGCTTCGGCCGCGGCTAAGATTCGATGCTTCACTGCTCTCGATTGCCTACACCGAACCCTGTAAATCAGTCGAAACGTGCTAAAAGCTAAACCATTAGGACTCTAATTTCCCATTCCTTGTTTATTTCTATTGTTAGTCATATTTAACGTTATGTAATGGCATGATTATGAATAACTGGAAACAAGCTTGTTCGCCCCGTTGTTGTTCTCAATGTGTTCTGTGGGACTGGTGAAACGTTTGCTATATATAGTGCTTATCATTATTCGATATCAAGGCATTGGTTTGTTTCAAGATTTCATATATGTATGTAATCGATATGCTTGCTTCTGGGCTGTTGGTCACGCTTATTCCGTTGTTTGACTGGCCCATGTGGAATAAGCCGGCTACAAAACTGTATTTCAGCGAAGGTTCATAGTCACTGGTTTCATGAAATATACAACTACAATATTCGTTTCCATGCGGTTATCCTATATCAAGTATTGTTAGAAGCGGTACTCTTACGTCACAAATTTGACTTAAGAAATCAAACAAGTTCACACGACGTATCCATGGTCACTGAGCACAACAGTGTGGCGACCATCCTGCTTTTCACTTATTCAAAAGCGAATGCCTCACGTTATATATACCTAGTAATATAATGTAATGTATTGGCACGCCTTCGATTAACTGAAAACGACCTTGATCACCGTACTGTATTGTCCTCAATGTGTTTTGCGGTATCCAGGGTCACTTCGCCGAATATGCATGCACACGTGCATACCATGGTTGCAGTTTGCCTTCTAGTGCGTGCACAGCAAGATAGTCGTGAGTACATTGTCTGTATATACTACTAGTGGTCAGAATGGTGGTTGCTAATTAAAACTTCCCGGGTAAATTCATCCGACTGTCTGCCACAATTGGTCGGTGTCCGAACGGGTTAGGAGCGCATGTCAGTTGGATCAACGTTTTCAGACGATAGCATACGTGTGCGTTGTGATTAGCAATCATGTCTTCATTTCACGGTAGTTATCTCACTGACTATATAAAAATGAGTTTGACTGCAGTGTGCAGTTTTACAGATGCAGCGAAATGACCATAGATACATTGTGCAAATCAATGTTTCTAACTTCTTTATTCTAATTCGTGACGGGCAAACATTGCTTTCGATAACATACTTGACAACCCCAGGAAAGCTGTTTTCGCTGTTTCCCCATATAATCACTAGGTTCTGAGGGACTCTCGTACAAAATTTGGCGATATGATAGTTGTATCTATCGATATGCCCTGATTTGTTCTTTGTTAGTTTTCGGTTTTTCGTGAAAAGTTGGTGCAATACTCGGAAAAAGTGTACGTCTCGAGAGGATCAACCCCAGGATCTACAACGCAGTTCGAGGGGCTGGTTACTTTCAGGTAGATGATTTTGGTTCCGAGAAGTGCCTCAAATCTAAGTTAGTATGGAATTTCACAATTGATAACGAGGCTATTGGTTATCTAGGTGGGCTGACGATGGCACCTTTTTGGGTCAATGTGTCAGACATGACATGACTGTTTGAACCTTGGGACCGTTTGCATTTAAGCTTTCCTGACAAGACATCAAACCCGGATTTTGGAATTCATGTGTGCTTTTTAAAAAGTGGCTGGGTTGCTAAAGGACTTAACTACAATTTTTCATCGGGCAGTTTCTTCATTTCTTTGCGTTTTTTCACCTCGAGTAATCCCCATTTGGAACTCCATCTGCTATCCGCTCTAGATAGTTCACAAATACCAATCAACGCAGTTGCGATTCTTTCAATGTGAGGAATGTCCTTTTTCCAGTGGTGCGGTGTGATTAACAATGGGATAGATGTATTTGGTTTTGGTTTTTTGTTGTTGTTTTTCTCCTACTCGCTTTCAGTGTGTGTGTGTGTGTGGGGGGGGAGATGTTTTCCAAGTACGTTTGTTGAACTCGTTCATTGTTTTGTAAGAACGGTGTAGGATTATGGGAGTTTAGTGAGAGATGCCATCGGTGCACGAGAACCACTTTCCATACATATGAGCTCAGTTCCCGCTTGTCTGTTTGCGTGTCACACTGTTCGCTCCGTCTATCATCGAACGAGCATACTTGACGCATCCCATGGATTCACGGGTCGTCCTTATTGGAATTTGCTGATCACTGAATCAAGGTGGGTGATGCATTACATCCCGTTTGCCAGACTTACTGTTTCGTGTGCGGAACGCGTTCAGAGTTGACCAATTCGTTTCCGACCCTCTTCAATCGATCACATAACACAGCCCCATAACCCACTCTTTCATCCGGCAGTGTGCGATGGAGAGAGAGAACGGGTCAGCCTAAATGTGCGTTGTTCACGTGTGTCTNTGTCTGTGGTCGTGTCGGAATATCCGTGTTTATGCATATGCCGGGGTTTACCATCGATCCACGGGTTGAGAGCTGTGAACTGGGTCTCCATCTGCAAGAGCGCGCGAGAGAGAAACAAGGTCGATAGACAAACAGGTTAGCACGCGCGCGCGCACGAGTGCGTGCACATAAACTATAGTTTGTTGTGACGCTCCCCGGGCACGCTCAAACACACGCCCACATGCTGTTGGCTAGGTGCAGACATCACGCCCAGCCTAATTAGAATTGTGCGTACAGACACACGCGCACAGGATTAGGTTTGTTGTGGGGAGTAGTTGATACTTGGCGCGTGGCACGTAGCAATCGATCAGCAAATCGATGCGTGACGATCGATCGCTCACCATCCAGTGTGGGTCTGTGTTGTGGAGTTTACCTCAAACCCATCCAGAATGTATGGCCGCATCGTGTCACCGACGTTCGATTCTCCATAGCATGTCTGTGTGTGCGTGACCGACTGGAATGGAACCAATGCGTATGCGATAATCATAACAAAACCTCGGTACGAGGGTTGTTTACTCCTTGGTCCAACGGCTCGAATCCTCCGTCAGGCCTCCTCCCTCTCCCCCCCCCAAAGTCCCTTAGTAGTGGGACCACTAGAATATAATATCTGCATTGTCTTGAATAACTGTATTATTGTGTTTCTAGGAATTAGGGCATATCCTAGCCGTCATGGGCACACCGAAGATGGCAGCGGTTCATAAAATCATTAAATGATTAGCCCCCTATTAAAGTAGCATTTCCCCACATGCACATCAGGTGGAAATGTCTAGTAAGGTGAATATCGTGAGTTGTGGGGACATGTTTGGTGATCATCATCATCATCATCATCATTAAAGTGAAGCGTGTGGGGAGCCAAACTTTGCTCCATTTAGACTTCACGTGATCATTCATATGAACTGACGGCTTCCTTAGAATTTGAATCTGCATTTGGTCATGCGTACTCTTCATCGGAGTTGATTACCGTGGTACATTCGGGATCTGTTTACAATGCCTCATATCCTTGAACG